ACGTTATTGAGGATGAGGAGCAGCTGAAGTTTGAAGATGAGAAGAGGATGGAGGGAAATCAAAAGACTTGTAATCATCCATAACCTGCTGCTGGCTGGACGAGGAGGACATCAGAAATCTGTACAAAGAGCTGGATGAGAAGGTGAGAGTAAACTGAAAGACAACACAGAAGATGTTTAAAGATTCCAACTAAATGTAAGTAGTTGACTTTTGTGAATTGTTATGAGTATTTGATGTTGTTTTGTTGTAATCATTTACAGGATGATGAGATCAAACAACAAAGTGAGCTTGGAGAGAAAGTGAAGGAGCAGATGAAGAAGAGGTTTGTATGTCAGGCTATGAAATGGAAAGGAAGTATGAAGGATTTTGGTTTGAAAGATGGATTTGATAATGATGAGAGTAGAGTAGAAGATCAGATGATGAGAATAGATGTGTAGTTTTTAGTGGGTGGTTGTCTGCTGGTGTGGGTGGTTTAGAGTCAGTGAAAACAATATTGAAAAAAGATGCTGGTGGTCAGAGGAAGAAGAGGTGTGGTGATAGGGTTTAAAGAAAGTTGTGTGTAGTTGTATGAGAATTAAAAAGGGACAAAGAGAAGTGGAGAATAATAGTTAAAGTTAGAGATATTTATTGTGTGGCTGTAGTAAAACAATGTAATAATGAGAGCTACATACAGAAAACCCTGTTTGTTCCTCGGTTCACTTGTTTTGGTGAGGGTTCATGTGAGGCTGTGAGCATGTTGGTCATTCATGGGTGTCTGAGAGCAGAGGTGATGGTGTAGTATGTGAACTTTATCTGATGTTAAAAAAGGATGTTTGTGCACTGGAGTTGAAAGCGGCACTTTGTTATGAAGTGTGGTGAGTATTTGTGATAGTGAGTGTTGTGATATTTGTGGGTTTCTGAAATTCCTGGGTTTGTGTAGGTCTGCCTGTGTGTTTGTCACAGATGTGTTGTGATGGTGAGTTGATTCATATTCATTGTGACAACAGTGTGAATGTCTGTTGAATGTATTTGCATGATCATGAATGAAGTTATGAGGTCCAGCCTTCTTGTGTTGGTTGGTGTGACATGTGTATCAGGTATGACTGTAATGTTTGTAAGTTTTTGTGTTGACAGGTGTCAAGATCCTGATGTAAGTGGGATGGTGGTTGATATTCAGGTGTTTAAGTGTGAGAACATCAATGGTGAGTTGTGCATTGAATTATGATTTTTATCTGTTGGTGTTAGTTGTATATGAGTTGTTGTAAGTTTTGATGTTCATGATGTTGGAGATATTTGAATGTGATTATGACATGTAAAGGTGTTTTATTGTGTTCTGCAGGAAGAAGTGCTGGTATGTAGTGATGAGGTGTTGGTATAAATGGTGAGTTGAAGATATTTATTGTGAACTTCCAATCAGTTAGGTGATGTTGTGTTGTAAGTTTTATATGTTGGTGTTAGAAGTTTTGGTGTGAAGTTGTTTGTGTGTTAGTGTTGTGTTAGTGAGTGTGAGTGTGTCAGATGAAGGAGTTGAAAGTGGAGTAGTGTGATTGTGGGTGATTTAAGAGCTATGTGAGCTCAGGGCACATTAAAGTGAGAATAATAGGTCATTGTATGTTTGTTGTTTAAGTCATCAGCTGTTTTTTTGTCAGTCTTCATACTTTGTGTTTGATTGAGATGTGTGTTGCGGGATTGTCTTTGCTGTCTTGTAATGGTTTTAGAAGGAGGGGGGTTTGAGTGAGGAGGACATGGTGTGCAATTTGAATTGTGGCATCATCGATCATGTTTTGGAAGAATTCGGCGTGTCTTGCTGGATTCATGAGGATGTTTTTTTAAGAGGTGGAATGGTGTGAATGTGAATTGTTGACATTCGTGATTGTGAGTAATGATTGTGTATTTCATGAAGATGTTTGAAAAAGATTAATTTGTTTGTCTTTGGAACAGGAAAGTTACTGAATGTCCATCTGTCACTGCTGCTGTCGTTGGAGGGAGTGAATGTGCAGAAGCAGACTTTGGAGCCTGGAGTGCGGGTTGCTGGTTTGAGAGTGTGTTTTGTAGCAGTAAGTATGAAACATTGGGGAAAAAAAACATTTTATGTTGGTGAATTGAATGAGTCACACAGTTATTGTCTTATTTATGTGTTTTTAGGATGAGGTGGATGCTGGGGCCATCATTGTGTAGGAGGCGGTGCCAGTGCTGGGTGGAGATACAGAGGAGAGTCTGTCAGACATAATCAGGGAGGCCGAGGTTTACCTCCTGCTCTGGATGTGGTGGCTGGTGGAGGAGTTGGGCTTGCAGAGGACGGATACATCATGTGGAAGTGGAGTTGAATTGAAGAACATGAGCATTCCAATAATGTTGATGAACCTGTCTGTGTGTCCTTTGTAGCATCTTAATTGTGTAAAAGTTGGTTTGATAATGGATAAAAGCCACTACATCATGAAATAGATGAATAAAAAATTGACATGTACACATTAAAAACCCAAGAATTATGTGAAGGTATGAACTTTCCAGTGTTTGATGAGTGGAAAAATGTTGTTTGATTTTATCATTTGTACGTTTCCATTTACTAACAAAGAAAGGAGGAAAAATGAGTATTGTGTGTGGAGAGAGATTGTAGTAATAGAAAAAGTACATTGAATTGTTAAGTTTTGAGAAATGGTAGTTGTAGTGGAATGAAGGTGTAAATTTCGATAGAAAGAAAACATTGAGTGGTTTTGCATGTCATGGTGTTGAAATGATATGTATTGTAATGGCTAACAATGAATGATTGTGTTATTTTGTTGAAGTTGTTTTGATGAATGAAGTTGTTGTAGAAATTGTTAGTTGATGTGAATTAAGGATTTAGTTGATATAATGTGAGAGAGGAACATATTTACTATGAACTTGACATCAGTAAGCTGATGTTTGGAGTTTAGTTTGAGTGAGAGGGTTATGTTAGGTGGTGTGTTGTGTATTTGAATGTGTTTTCTGGTGTTTTGCAGGAGTGGTGAAATGCTGCTGTGGGATTGGTTGATTCCATTTATGGCGTGTGAGCCGGCCCTTGTAATAAGAAGTTGATGAAGGTCAGATGTGAGTAATCAAAAATAATGCTGTTCAGGTGGTGGAATGGGCAGTATATAAGGAGACGGTGCAAGCGTCAGCGTTTTTGCGTCAGTGGAAGAAGTCCAAACCGGAAGAAGTCCAAAGCGGAAAAAGTCCAGACTGCGGGAGTAGTCCAGAGTGGGGAGAGAGTCCAGACCGGGGAGGGAGACCAGACCGAGGAGGGAGTCCAGAACGTGGAGGGAGACCAGACCGAGGAGGGAGTCCAGAACGTGGAGGGAGACCAGACCGAGGAGGGAGTCCAGAACGTGGAGGGAGACCAGACCGAGGAGGGAGTCCAGAACGTGGAGGGAGACCAGACCGAGGAGGGAGTCCAGAAAGTGGAGGCAGACCAGACTGTGGAGGGAGTCCAGACGGCAGAGGGAATCCAGACGTGCAGAGAGAATCCAGACATGCAGAAGACTCCCGACATGCTGACTCTTCGACGTGCTGACTCCATCATCTGACTCCTTCCTCAGACTCACTCCTCAGACACACCCACGCGCCCACCACCTTCTTCTCTACTGCCTAATCCAGTAAGTATAATACAACCCTAACACATGCTAAAGTTTCTACAACTCCTTACACTTCTTAAACCCTAAACCTGCTAACTCTAATACAATCAATCTTTTTTATGGACTTCCAACCACTCTTTACACTCCTAAAACCTGTACTATTGTTAAATATTTAACCTCAACTGTAATCTCATTCAATTCCTCTTGTATCTTCAACAGGCATGCTGCATGTGGTGGACCATGTTCCTCAGTCTACACCGCTAAGCTAACATGGATCACTTCTTTGGAACAACTCAATCTGCACTGAACTCACCAATCCCATTACAGAGTCCAACCTACATGATCAGGTACACAAACCTCATTGAGCTAAAGCTAACCTCAACCTTTCAATTCTGCAACTCAACAATTTCTTTACATCTCAGACATGTCATCTAACAAACTGTATTCAAATCTTACTCACACAACCTTTTGTAAAAAAACATTCGTATACCTCACTCTTCCTTCAACACTATCCTTCTCTCATACTGCCTCACACATTCTTACTTCTATTGTTCAACTATTTCTACTTCATTCATAACACCAACACATTAACCTTTGTATCAACCAAATTCTGTAAGCTAACTGGACATAACACACAACTCCTAATCTAAACTCATATTGCTAATGTTTTCTGCTTACATATTTTCACCTAAACTTCATAATGTAGTTGACTTAGAATACAGGATAAGACACCCAGGTGGTACAGGTGACAAACTCTGTCATGTTTCCCTCCATGTTTGGTACATGCTAACTTTGCTATGCTAAAACACATTATCACATAAACAGATCAGTACATACTTTATTGACTCCTATTTTCCACATATTACACCTTTAATTAAAACATCCTCATCCATACTAACACAGACAATACTCCATCAACACATATGCACAACATCTCACTATCCATTCCAGATCACACATTCACACTTCAACAGCTAACAGTGTTAAACCCAATTGACACATATCCCAAACACTACATATTCTGACATGTCTACTACCCACAGACAATACCATGTCCTCATTAACCCTCAATAATCAACACCCATTTCTTTTTCTACTCCTACATAATTACAATTACTCCTTCACATTACAACATTCACACATTTCAGTTAATCCATGTATTTATCTTAACATTCATACAGTCAACTCTTCACATATTTCACTTTAAACTTCACTTTAATAGATTTAAATGTTTTTAACTTTTCATTAGCACCTACTAACTGTCACCAAATTATATTCAATGTACTTCCATGTTTGTCATCTCTGCCTTGAATTTAATCATCATAACCTCTGATTCCTAACAGGACATGTGATAACTACCAATGAACAATTGTTTCTTTTGTAGTACAACAATGTGGATCAACACTTATCCATCTCCACCCTTCTGCATCTCTTAACTACAGTAACAATATAATGTACACATCATTATGTTTATTCACACTTCTCTAATGTCAGTCACACCTGACAGCATTCACATCTTATTAAAACACCAACTACATCTTACAAAGTCTCAACTCTTCTTCCTCATATCTGTAAGGATGTTCCTTTAACTTCTTTTCTGCTCCACTGTTATAGACATCACAGTTTAGTCTACGTGTATCACTGTGAGCCTGATTATGTCTTTTACAATATATGCCATGCCTTTCAAACACTTCTTCACATGTCTTACAGCCCTGCTCTTATATTTCTTTATTGTATTGTGGTTTGTGTGGGAGTGAGACCTCTGTTTATTTTGCATGTCAGTATTTATACACCAACAGGTGAAGATCGTGAATTCTTTGACAGACTCAACCAGCTGCAATGAAAACACCACCATCATTGGTCGGGAGTGTTCTCACATCTATGAGGCTTCCTAGGATTCTCTGGAGGGCAGCACATGTACTGACAGCAGCAGCATTCAATATTCCTCAGTCTCCAACTTACAATTACATTTCAAACATTGTCACATAATTGTTAAAACCTTTCAATTCACTTTTACTTATCTTAGCAAATCTTTAGTTTCACAATCCATTTATTGCCTTTTGTACTCATTTTCTTTCCTCTTTTTCTTTAACTTTACAGATTCTTCTTTATTAATGTATTTGAATTGGTGTTGCAAATAAATCTTCTTATTCAAGATTACTTCTTGATTTAACTTTGAGGACCAGGGAAGTAACTTACCATGTTTTTTTCCATGTTAAACCTGCCCCCCTAGATGTGTTCGCAACAACATGTGATTAACCAACACACAAATAAACTGTGATGTTGAATCATGTCTCCTCAAATATTCATCTGATGTATAAACTTTCATCAACATGACTCAACTGTGTCTTATTGCATAGAGTCAATTCTTACTCATTTCCTCACCACACTGTACACACCTCAACCAAATCACTTCATCTTGTTCTCATCAGATCACAGCACATTGTTCCAGTAATCACTCATTACTCTGCTTGTCTTCAGCAAACTTAAAAACATCTTCACAACACACTTCCTTCTAGTATAACAACCAAACAATCCAATTTCATACAATATACATCATCTGTTCTGACCCTACCATGAACACATGATGTGTTACCTCAACACACTTCACAAAAACTAACTCAAACACGTTACTCTTTCCTATATTACAAAGACTTATCCAAAATGACCATGTCAAAAACCAGCAAAAATTCATTACCACTGTATACTCTTACCACCCTCGTGCACCTCAGTCTCAGACTGGTGTTAATCTTCTCGTTCACTTTGCCATCAGTTCCCATGTTGAACTTCCACTGACCACTATGACACCAAATCTAACACACCTGCTACCCATTCACACCTGACACCTCCTAAAACTGATGAATCACATGACACTTGGCAGTGGAAATGGCTAATTACACCCAATTTCAACATCTCCACTTACAAGTGTAATCACTACTTTACATATTATCAAAGTCTCATTTCTTCAATGATGTCCACATGAAATAATACAATCTAATATTTACAGAACTATTACAGGTCTACTCACTTTTCTCACATAATGTATATCACCAATTAACACTACTGAACAAGTAGCCAATCAAACATTACATAAACTATACACATCTTAAACATTATCACACAGATGCTAATTTCATCATTTCACAATTTCCAACTACATTCTGTGTTCATTTTCGTCTACATTCAATTGTATGAAGACATTTCACACCAGCAGTGACTTCTTCCACTCCAAAGTCAACATGCACATCTCCATCCAATCACACTAATTAACACACTTCACCTGATGAAAAAATCATCACCATTCAACAAGCTGCTGAACACTTTATACTTTTAAAATACATCGTACCATTTATCACACAGATACACTGTCTGACAGCTGACACAGAGCAGCTGTTGGATCCACCAATCACAACTTCCCAAATAATGTGTCATACCACACCTCATCAGCAAATACTTTTTTTACATTTCATAACAACTCCCCTTTAAGTAAGGACAGAACACATTTCAACTTTAGCCTGAGTTACATATGTCATATATCAAACTGTATTGTGGCCTCATGTTTTTTTGTATGGGTGAGATATGTATGTATATATATCTTGTCTTCTTTATTTGTATGTATGCTGGCTGCTGAACACCTACATTTCCCTGCTGGGATGAATAAACTATATATTATCTTACTGCATGAATCAATCTCACATTTGTAAACCCAATATATTTATTTACACAGCAGGAAAAGTTTACATCCAAACAATCTGACAGTTACAAACAACATACTGAGCCCCCCAACACACAGGCCTAAGTAACAACACTAACTGGATAACCTACCTGTAGGTCTTCATGAGCCAGGCTCCTACTTCCAACACATAACATAATTCTTTAACACAGGGCAGCAGCTCAGTGAAAAACCGTCTCCCACCTGCTCAACAGAACACAGACACACAACGTCACATTACAACATCTAAACACACGACACATAAACCTAACAGAGAACACAGCTTCAGATACAGGCACAGTACAAAAGTTTCAAAGATTAACAACATTTTCAACAACAGCATCATCAACACTCTAAACACTGAAGATCGGTGGTGCAGATGTCACACTAACAGTGTGCTATAACAATCATGCTCATCTTACTAAATTACCAACCCTGCCTTTAACTCAGACAACTCAAACAATCCTGTCATCAAAACTTTCCCATTTATTCTAAAACACAGAAAATTACACCATATGTCAAAATAACAACAAACATACAAATCATTTTCATAAAAACCACACACATACCTCTGTTGGATACACTCTGCACACCTATACTGAAAGAACCCACACAAATCCATAAATCTTCAAAAAATAAACAAAAACAACGTCCCCATTTTTGAGACACACACTTTATACTTTACTTTGTACACAAATACATGAGCTAAACTACACTTCTACATCAAGGACACTCATCCATGTACGTGAGGCGGCATGGCTTTAGAGCAGCAGTGGGCAACTGGCAGCCCCCATCAACCCTAAACGTGGCCCTCAGGTCATTTTTTACATATCAATTAATTGGAAACATTTACAAAACCTGCCATGAAATCATTAAAATCACAAATACATACATAATATTTGACAACTGCTATATCTTACCATACATTTCAGACATAATTGACCGTAATTGTTTTTCTATGTTACAATTTGGCCCTCTGGCAGTGAGAATTAAAGGAATGTGGCCCTTGCTGAGATCAAAGTTGCCCCTCCCTGCTTTAGAGGGAGCACAGAGCGGAGGTCAGGTGCAGACAGAACACTGAGACAATTCTACTTTCTACATCATGCTACATTTACTAAATTACCAACCCTGCCTTTAACAGAGCTCAACATTATAACTGGCCTGCTGGCCCGGATCAATGACTGACAGAGTCCAAGCCAGCTGATTGGATGTTCAGCTGGCACACTACACAATAACACATTCTCACGTTCACAGCTCTATCCTGTCATACCGCTGTTATATCACACATTTTATTTTAAACGTCACACTAATAACTGCTACAGCATCAACGTATCATAAACACTCGTGTGTGTCACAGTTTAAAAGCAGTCGACACCTTCACTGCTGTCCCTCCTGTGAGCGCACTCACTACTCCCAAACTGTACACTCACACACAGATTTTAGTGCAGGTTATCATAAGAAAAATACTAAATATTAAATATAATTACAACTCAATTCATTAAATAAAACTTGTCATTTAATCTTCCATCAGAATACTTCAAGAATAAATTGGTAACTGTTATTTTTCAAATCAAAAGTAATATTCCTGAGCCAGCACCTACAATGATCAGGCCACTGATCTGTGAAAACACATTTCATTTAATGTCAACCCCTGCTGTAACTTTAAAACATTTCACTAAAACAGTTTAAACACAGACAGACTGATTATTAATCCTACTAATAAACTCTTTTTGCATCGCTACTCAAACTCTTATTTATTGTTGTTTTTATGCCTAATATTATATTAATTTATACAGTTCAATATCATCACAGTACCTCAGTAACATATCATGACAGTACCTCAGTAACCTCAGCCGGCCTTTGTTCAGCATTCTGGTATATGAAGTGGTGGACAAACACTTCCTGTTTCCTCCTCAATCCTGCAGGGAGTGAAGGAAACAAAAAAACAAACAACACATCTAAATATTTGAGATTAAATGAAAATGAAAACTTCTTTCACAGTACACTACAGTCTCTGGGACTCCTTAGCTCACTGCTGTTGTCCATCTCTGTCATCGCTACAGGAGGCGTGGCCTGGCTGGAGGCTCATCAGCAGGATCACCTCATTCACTCTCTGACCTCTGACCTCTGGCTCTCTCGCAGCCTCACCAAGACTTACACACTTGTTTCTTTGGTTTCTTATGTTAGAGCATAAATTATTATCAGAATAAATGTCTAATCATGATTTCTTTCATGACAGTTCAACGCACCACATGGTTCACTGTTCTTTAACCTTCATTAGACAGAGGAACATTTTCTGATCATGAGCTCAGTGCACACTGCTGAAAACACTACGTTCTGTAACATTTATATATACTGTATATATATTTATTATGCAGAGGGTCCACACAGACACTCGTTTGTAACATTTGGTCATTTCTTTCCTTCAATATCTTCTACATGTCATACTATTTCAAAAGCTTTGTGGTGTTGCCTGTTTTAGCTGCACTAAATATCCCATTAGTCGTGTTGTGAATTCACTGCACATATTAAACTACACCTTCTTCAGCGTCACATTGTCATAAATATAAACACCCTGAAAACACACTACAAAGAACTGGATCTTTTCCACAGGAATAAACACTGACTTGGAGGACATTCTCTCTAGTAATACAGACATGACTTTCACTGCTCTCACACTAATAATGTTTGAGAGGTAATAAGCTGCAGCTAATTCTTTAAAAGTTTTGACTTCAAACAGGATGGTGTATCAGTCAGCATGCAGAGTGAATGAAGAGGACACAGATGCTTTTAAACTACCTTGTGGTCCACCAGTGTTTGATCAATAACATCCAGTATTTTACATATTTACATTTAATCTACAACTAAAAAGATAAACAAATTAAGTCTCTATTCAAAACTACACTCAGTTTACTGCACATTGCACAACTTTACATTTTATACCTTTGTGTAACACAGTTATTGATGACATGAATTTCCCCAAAACACTAATTCTTCATTTTAAATCTAATTCTTTTACGTTTCTCTCCTGCCTGTTTATTTTGGAGTCTGTGTGTGTCTGTGCAGAATGACAGCAGTATGTGCGTGTGCTGTGCACACTCGGTCTTTGGTCAGAGGCAGGTTTATAGTGATTAATGCTCCATCAATAAATTCAATTAAAAGTAATTTTTCATAGTTTACATGTAATCAAACTGTGGTGCTCGGTTTATGATCATATTTATTTTATTCTGTATCAGTTTTGACTAATATATTTAAAGTTATTAATTACTTTCATCATAAATGTTAACAGCTAATGTAGAGGGGAATGTTGTCAGGGGAGATGCTCGACTCTGACCACACACACCAAAACAAAAACTACCAATGTCAATTTACATGCTGTACATAAATACTAAATATAAGGGATTTTCTGTTTCCATATTACTCTAATGTGGCTTTTATGTAGGCTGGTTTCTCAAGGATGCACTTCAGACACCTAAGGTAGGTGGGTTCAGAACCCCCAACTTTACTTCCACTCGTGTCCAGGTTCCACCTTGTCAATTAGAAACCCCACAAACAGCATCTCGCAATTACTTAAGTACTCTCATCTCAGAATTGGCCAATCAGATTGGTCAGTCTATTGTTGCACAACTGCAAAGTGACAAAAAAGACAATGAGTCTGTCTCGACAGAGAGTAATAAGTCAGAGCATAAACCTCAATTCAACTTATCTGGAGTCAAACTTCTTATGCAGTCAGATGTTAGAAAGCCACCAGTTTTCAGAGGGAACAGCAATGATAAATACTCTGAACATGAATGGGTAGAAATGGTCGACATATATCTAGTTAAAAGAAGCATACCAACACACCAGCAGTCACAAGAGATAATAGCTAGGCTAAGAACGCAGTCAAGGTGACATTACCCCACAACCCCTTAATCGACCACATCCACACTCCTGAACTAATCTTTGACAACTTGAAAAAACATTTTGGTGAGTTGACTTACTCCTCAATGCCCATGACTGACTTCTATAACACCAAGCCACTGCTACAGGACGGGGTTATGGAATACTGGATTAGACTGAACAAAGCCATTGATATCACAGATGAGTGTTTAAAGAGGCAGTGACGCAGTGTTGAAGATCCAGGGCGTGAAGTGTCTATGATGTTCATTAAATATTGCCCAGACCCAATCCTCTGCAATAGGCTTACCTTTAAAGCAGCCAAAGAGTGGACAACCAGTGAGGTTCAGGAACGCATTGACAGTTTCCAGCAGGAACTCAGATCACGCACTCAAACAAGTTCTCAAGCTCCACAGAGACATAGTCAGCCACACCCAGACAGCCATGGAGTATGAGATGGAGACCTCACAGCCACTGCACGTCAGTCCTACTTCACAGCTCTGTTCTGCCTCAGGTCTTTCTTCACACCCATCATCTGCAGCAGAGTACAGCTCAGCCTCAGTCATTTCATCTCAGCTTTCACCCATAGCAGCCCACTTTATTCCAACTCCTACCATTGATCTTCCTCAATATCCTTCCCAGATGCCAGTGTCCACCCACCCAAGGTCAGTAGTCACCTCCCAACCTTCAAAGTCGCCAACACCTCTTTCTGCTGCTCAGCCTCCCCCCCCCCCCCCCCCCATTTATGTGAATAGCATGCATGCTCTGATTGGCCTTTTAAATCGCATGATAGTGCATCAGAATGTACAGGTTCCTGCACCTGCCCCTTCAAGACAATTTGCTCCAGGCCCTTTCCAGATGAGGTCTTGTCGGGTTTGTGGTGATCCCAACCATTCCACACTCATGCATTGTAGGAGGGGGAATCTGCGTCTCTCATGCTTTAATCCTGGTCATTGGAAGAGTGACTGCACTAGACTTGGACAGAGACAAAGACGCCAGGCTGAAGCCGGCCACAGCCAGCCTTCGGAAAACTAGAGCACTCACACTCGAAGAGGGGCGCTGTGAGTAATGGTCGGAAAACCCTCTATAGAGATGAGACGGCTCTTCAGCTCCTGTATGGAAACACATGTTCAGCCTTACCTGATGCATATCAACTTGTGGTCCAAGGATTAGCAGAGGTGCCAGCTTTCAGTGAGTTATTCTACACAGAGGTTGCAGTGAATGACAAGGTTAAACTGAAGGGCATGATTGACTCGGGGTCAATGGCTTGCACTCTTAGTGATGAGGCTGAATGTTTACTCAGAGAAGACCCCAACTTTATATATGACTTGACCATCTACGTAGTGAAATGTATCGTCCCTGTCTTGGTGGTTTCAGGCCAGCATGATGAACTCATTGTCAGCTCCAACGTCCTCAAGCACCTCATGCACTGCATGAAATACAACAAAGACTACTAGACGCTAATATCCTCAGGGTGCAAACATTCACTTCTGGACTATGAGCACTTCTTGGATATGATGTCATGCACCACCAGATGGAGGAGGGGATGAGATTCCTGACAAGATTGGCACAGTGAAGCTACCCCCCATGCTCTGACATTACTCCCCCAGCATGAACACCTTGTGTGGGGCAAGCTGCCCAGCAATGTGCCAGTGTCCCCAGGGAGCACGATTATTGTGGAGCCTTGCACTTCTAAGTCAAGACCAAGAGACATTGTTGTTGGGCGGGTCATCACACCAATGTGGGGAAACCGGTGGGTGCCCATGAAGATCACCAATCTCTCATCCAAGCCGGTCACTCTAAAGCGCAACTCCAATATTGCAGATGTTTCACCTTGCATTGCGGTGGAGCACCTGGCCTTCCACCAGGGTTCATGTAAGATGGAGAACAGGAAGCAGGGTGAGGCTAGTGGACCTTCTGCCACAGATGTTAAACATACACCACCTTCACAACACCTGTCGGCCTGTATGAGTACAACAGGATGCCCCAAGGGCTGAGCAACACGCCGGCGTCGTTCATGCACATAATGTTGAACATCTTTGGAGACCTCAACTTCACAAGTCTGCTTTGCTATTTGGACAACCTTCTTGTTTTCGCTCCAACTGAAGAAGAGGCCCTTAGCAGGCTGCAGGTGGTTTTCCAGAAACTAAGAGACAAAAATCTCAAGCTCAGCCCCAACAAATGTCATCTCCTGCAGAAGTCTGTCAAGTTCCTTGGACATGTCATTGATAGGAACAGTGTTACAGTGGATCCTGCTAAACTGGATGTGATCTCCAACATGCCAGTAGAAGCACTGATGGATGAAGACAATTGCACCGCCTCTGTGAGGAAGCTTAAATCCTTCCTAGGCATGCTCTTTTTCTATCAGAGCTTCATTCCCGGTTGCTCAGCCATCGTTAAGCCTCTGTTCGCTCTGACAGCTGGCCAGATGTGAAAAGGGCAGTCTAGTCAGACTGCTAAGAGTCCTGGCATGTTCAGAAAGTTGACTGCTGCAGATTGGACCTCTGCATGCGAATATGCCTTTACTAGGCTCAAGAGTGAGCTTCTCAACTGTGCTGTTTTGACTCATCCAGACTTTTCAAGACCTTTCATCCTGTCCGTGGATGCATCTCTAGATGGGCTGGGTGCTGTACTATCCCAATTGCCTGCCAGGGAGGACAAAGCACGGCCCATCGCGTTCGCTAGCAAATCCCTCAGCAAGTCACAGCAGAAGTATCCAGTTCATCATCTAGAGTTTATGGCCCTGAAGTGGAGTGTCTCAGAAAAGTTCACTCACTGGTTGAAAGGGCATGACTTTACAGTTTGGACAGACAACAATCCACTCACCCACATTCTGACCAAGCCCAAGCTTCATGCTTACAAACAACAATCAGTAGCCAAGCTGTCATCCTACAACTTTGACTTGAAGTAAATCCCAGGTCCAAAAAATGTTATGGCGGATGCCCTCAGTTGTGTCCCCTTCACTTCTTCAATCAGCAGATGTCTCATCCAAGAACCCTACACCAGCTTAGTGCAGGAGGCACAAGGTGCTTAGGCTGACAGTATGCAGGATGTTTTCAGACTTGGAACTCGACATGTCCAAGTGGTCCAGCAATCCAGATTGACTCCAGACATTGTGGATTCCTGCAGCTCTTCTGAAGTTACCACTTTGTTGTGTCACAGCAATTGGGAGAGCTGTGCAAAGACTAGAGCTACCCACCTTGCTCACCATGTCCAGCAGCTGGAGCCCACTGGTCAAGACACCTTGCCCTCGCTTACCTTGCACTAGCTTGAGAATAACCAACTACAACACCCTCCCATCTCAAGTGTCCTACTGTTTATTATCTGCAGAAGACGCCCTTCCAGAAGGGAAAGACATGGCATGACTGCTGAAGCACTGGGACAAACTGAAGATTCAAGACAGAATTCTGTACAGGGAGACACAAAACCCAGTGAGCAAAACAAAAAGACTTCACATGGTGTTGCCGGTGACTGTCAGAAACGAGGCATTGGAAGGACTGCACGATTTGGCAGGACACCAGGGCCAGATCAGAACACTCCACCTAGCAAGACAACATTTTTTCTGGCCCAGCATGTAACGGGATGTGAAAGAGCATGTGCGTTGCTGTAAGAGATGTGTGCTCACCAAGACTCCAGACCCTGCAGCACGAGCCCCATTGGAGAACATAAAGACCTCAGCACCCATGGAGCTCATCTGCATCGACTTCTGGTCAGCTGAAGACAAGCACAAAAAAATCAGTTGACATTCTTGTGGTGACACACCACTTCACCAAGATGGTCTTTGCCTTCCCATGCAGGAACCAGACTGCTAAGCAGGTGGCCAGGAAGCTGTGGGACTGTGTTTTCTGTGTATAAAGTTTCCCTGAACGTATTCACTCAGACCAGGGACCCAGCTTTCAGAGTGAGCTACTGTCTAAGCCTCTTATCACCCTATGGGCAATGAGGGCACATAACGTTTTAATCGTACCCTCGGCAATATGCTGCGTGCCCTCCCCGAGACCAAACCAAGAATGGTCACGACAAATCCAGACATTAACCTTTGCTTATAATTCAACTGTTCATGAGACTACTGGCTACACAGCATTTCATCTTATGTTTGGCCGTGTCCCAAGGCTTCCAGTTGACATTATGTTCAAGTCTGTTCTGTATGACCCCATTTTGGCAGACTTCAGCAGTTACTCCAGGACTCTTGTGTCGTACCTGTCTGAAGCTGCCCGAATCGCTCAACAGCACACCTCCAAATTGCAGGAAAAACAGGCCCGTCAGTATAGTAAGAAAGTCAAAGGTGTTTCTCTTCATGTAGGGGACAGGGTGCTGCTCGCCAACAAAGGAGAGCGTGGCAACAAGAAACTGGCTGATAGGTGGGAACCTGTGGTGTACACGGTTGTCGAGAGGAACCCAAAAACGCATATCTACAAAATCAGTGATGTCCCGGGTCAGTGCAAAGTCCTCCACAGGAACCTCCTTTTGGACGTGAATTTTCTCCCTGTCAGAGATACACTTGAGTCTCAGCCTTTGGATGACCTTTCTGTTGATTATCTCAGCAGCTGTGGAGACGAACACGGAGTCAGGGACTTTGGAATGGAGTCCTCCCATGCACAAACATCTTTGTGGGTCAATAATGATGGACATACTGAAGCAGAGGAGCTAGTTTCGCAGCTGTCAGACGAGACTGACACCCACTGTCATGATGTGGACGGGATGGATGATGAACATGTTGCCCGTGACTTACCTGTCTACAATGAGTGTCTGCCTGACACATCTCCTGTTCCAGCAGTTCTCCTGTTGTGTCTGTAGAGACTCAGACTGACACAGCCCCTGTTCTAGCCTGTTCCCCTGCTGTATCTGGAGACCCACAGAGTTCATGACCCCACTGATTTAGCCATCAACTCTGACCTACCTTCGACTTCTACTCACCATCACTTAGGACTCACCAATACACGACTGAGGCCAGATTACAGCTCAAGGTAGGGTGGTCACTAGAGCAGCGAGGGTTGTCAAAACAGTCGACAGGCTCATAGAAAACATGGTCCAGAGACCCACTACATGGGGTCTGTTACCACCACAGAAGGCTCTATCTGTAGCTTAGATGTTGTAAAGTCAATACGTATTTTGGATTTGTGTGGCTAGCATACTGGGTTTGTCATAGTAGCCTTTACAGGACCAGTTATTATGAGGTGTAGGCTGCAGCTTAGTATTCTGGAAAGGTTGGAGGCCTGATCAACCTTCTTAACTAATTTTGATCTGTTTCACAGATAGTTTCTTAATTGATTTTCAAAGATGAGATCTGTCTGTGTGGCAGACGTACTCAGTGTTATCATAAATTCTTGGTCCTTAAATTGATCTCGGGTCTATGATGATTTTGGTGAAATTCAGGAGGGGTGAATGTAACAGGTCGTTATTGATGACATGAATTTCCCCAAAACACTAATTCTTCATTTTAAATCTAATTGTTTTACATTGCTCTCCTGCCTGTTTATTTTTGAATCTGTGTGTGTCTGTGCATAATGACGGCAGTATGTGTGCACGCGACGTGTGCTCGGGCCAGAGCCGTTACAAATTTCTTCAGAGGCAGATTTATAGTGATTAATGCGCCGTCGATAAATTAAAAGTAATTTTTTATCGTTTACATGTAATCAAACTGTGGTGCTCGGTTTATGATCATATTTATTTTATTCTGTATCAGTTTTGCAAAGTTTTGAGTAATATATATAAAGTTATTAATTAGTTTCGTCGCAAATGTTCTGCAACCCAGAACACATGCTTTACACACGGGTTACATTTACACAATTTAGAATTTATTACTGTAAATATTATTTACCTTATTTTTCCTCATTTTATTTGATCTATTTTACCTGATCTGATTTTACCTTACTTTGCTTGTATTGCACCATGGGACGGAGACAAACGCAATTTCAATTCCACTGTATGTCTGGCACATTTTCAAATTGACAATGAAGTTGAATTTGACTCTCGTACAAAGATTAATGATTAAACAAACAATACTTTCTAACATAAATATATTCATTACAATTATTAGAGTACAACAAATATAAATGGCAGAAATTACCTCTCTAGGTAAATTAACTACTCCACATCAACTTCACCGCCTAGGTTTAAAAGTAACACTGGCGCCATCTGCTGGTTAACAAAGGGTATTACAAGACGCCGTCCATAGACTGTCAACACGTGGAATCAATTAAGCTCCCATCAGAAAACAAACAGCTCATGCTTAGTTAAAACTTACAAATGTATCAAAAACTAAACTTTGAAATGTATCAAAAACTAAACTTTGAAACGTATCGTTAAACTAAACTTTGAAACGTATCGTTAAACTAAACTTTGAAATGTATCGTTAAACTAAACTTTGAAATGTATCAAAAACTAAACTTGGAAATGTATCAAAAACTAAACTTTGAAACGTATCGTTAAACTAAACTTTGAAACGTATCGTTAAACTAAACTTTGAAATGTATCAAAAACTAAACTTGGAAATATATCAAAAACTAAACTTTGAAACGTATCGTTAAACTAAACTTTGAAATGTATCAAAAACTAAACTTGGAAATGTATCTTTAAACTAAACTTTGAAATGTATCAAAAACTAAACTTGGAAATGTATCGTTAAACTAAACTGAACTAAACTAAACTGCAAAACATTCAACAAACAATAAACCGGATCATAAACACAATATCACGAACATCTTTCTCCAGCTTAGCAGTACAGGTGTGTAATTATCAAACAGCTGTAATTATCAAACAAACAAACATTAACAACAACTTACGTTCCCAAACTCTGTTGGATATCAATACAAGGACAGCAGGATCATAACAAAGTTAAATTAAACATAAACTTTGTTCCACAGTTCAGAGAACTTGGAATCTGCCGCTCTCATCTCCGACGACACGCACTGTGGTCACCTGTTCAATCATGAGAGCAACACATCCGGGGACTTTGCCCAAACGATGCCGGCCCCGCCCCTTACTGGCTGAAATCATTCCACCTGAATTCAATTTAAGTGTTAGTTGTTGGTTACTGCACCTAAATAAGAAATGAATCAGACTGCTGTTTCTTAGAGTAAATTAAACACAGAAAGCTGGATGAAGAGCTTTCACTTTTAAATTAAATAAATGAACTTTATTCATATAACTTTAGTAAGATGAACCTTTAATCTCTGAGCTCTGTGAACAGTAATGTTTAGAAAATCATTTTACCTCTGAGCTGCAGCACAGAGCGAGGAAACACCTGCACACACCTGTACAAAGAAACAAGAAGAAAACCATCAATGTTCTTTTTCCACACCCTTTTTTTTCTCGAGTGTTCCAGGGTCGATATTACCTTTGGCGCACCTGAGCTGCACACCTGAGCATGATGCACAGCAGCGGAAGTGACGTTAGGCGTGTCATTCCCAGGTAAAGGTCGTATCTACGTACAGAACTCATTGTGAATTAGAACACACAATAACAATAACAAAAATTAAATAAAACACCGAAAATAAATTAAAACATTCATTTTTAGATTTATAATCTACAAATGTGGATAGATACTGTTGTTTAAATGATTTGTCTATTAGTGAAATAATCCAAACACATGTTTAATCTTGTGGTAGTTATAGGTGTAGTCACTTTAATTTACAAACATTTACAAATTATTAAATCTTCTCATTTACTTTGTTTTATATTCTTAGATAAGTAGAAAAGATGGTTGGTGGATGTAATTACAACCCATCGCCAGCAGAGGGCAGCAGTGTAATATGAATGCATGATGCAGCAGTTCATCAGACCTGACGAGCCTGTTAACCTCCAGGTGAGCTATATTGTAATATTTACAGTCCATGGTTATAAAGTGCAGAAGTTACATTAAACTCAGCTCGATTGAAGATAGATATCTGCCTCTTATTTAACCTACCAGCTTCCTTTTTCCATCAGCAGCAGCAGCAGCGCCCTCTGCTGTCCACAAAGAGTGCTGCCATCACCTCTGCATAATGACTGTGTGTGTATGCAGCATTTTTCATGCAGGTAAAGCCAATATGTAGCCTATTACATTATATAATCATGAGGAACTTTATCACAATAAATAAATGGAGCAGAAAATACTGAAAGTAAAGTACAAGTCAGTTAAAAGGAATGAATTAATGGAGTCATTTAGTAATCCCATCACGACTGTTAAGAACTAACAGACCTCTTCATTCATGTTGGGAAACTGTATCACTGTGATCACAGCTGATTGTCCACAAATACTGAACTACTGAAAAAATAAAAGACTGCAAATGTAGCTTAAGGTTTTCACAAAGAGCTCTACATTCAAACTAATTACAGTTTCCTTAAATTTTAGAAGAAAACCACAAACTAACCTTTCTTCATTTCTGAAAAACTGACATATTCCAAATTTGATAGAAACCACATACATATCTATGTCGACAGAACATATGTTGTTGTTGTTTTTTTTTAATTCATCGATTTTTTAATGATTAATGCATTTTCAGTGTATCCAACATAGGTATGTATGTGCTTTTTATCAAATTTGGTGTATCTTGGTATTTTGGTATCAGACTCTGCTGCCTGTAATAAGAGGAGTAAGCTGTCAGTCAGATCTGGTAACTATTATGACCTTAATGTAGTTAAACTAACAAAGTCACATGGCTCTCTAGCTGTATCTGTAAATGTAAGACAAACATAAATATCTAATATCCAATGAGTGTTCATTCATTTAAAATGTTTGAAGAACAAGTTGAAACTTCACCAATGACATGTTTAAATAATACTTTTCTTCCACTTACCAGATTTCTTTGCTTCACTTTCAGCCACGTTTGGATTCTCTCCAACATTTCAATCTTCACGATATCTGAGTGAACTTTACATGCAACAAAAAGCCACTGTGTGTCGTTAAAGACCCTGGAAGAGAAAATCCAGTCAGTATCAATGAACTGCAGAAGACACGTGAACTTAACATGGTTCAATCTTTATTTCATGGTACTTCAACGATGTTAATCACTCTTTTTGTCCAAACATGAATGAATCACACAGCAGTAGTAGTAAAAAAGTAGCTAAACTGACAGCCTTATGTAACCTCCAGTCCTCTAACATGGGACAGGTGAGCTTTCTGGCAGTGCATCATGTGCTTCACAGTGCTGCTTCCACTATCCAACATGCAATAATCCTCTTCAATGAAAATCCTATCAAACAAAAGCAACAATTATTAGCTACAAATTAATGCAATAACCACATTTTCTCACATCTAGATACAAGAGGCTTTTTTTTATTTATTTTTTTTACATTCTGCAGGGATGTATCGTTTAGTGTGGCTGATGTTGCATCTGCAAAATCAGCAGCTTCTTTCACTTTCAACCCATTTGAAGTGGCACTTTCATGTCTCTTCATTTGCTAGTATACTCTCTGCTCCATAAAAAGTTGCTGCCGCCACCCCCCAGGAAAATAAAACTACAGGAGCAAGTTTAAGGTAATGTAATATTAGACGGGGGCGATGAGTGTGAGATTTATCTCAAAGCTAAACAGATGGAAGGAACACATCAGAAGATCTTAATGAAACACACACGCCTGCACACCTCGCGTGTAAAGCTAACAACAGAGCTATGGACAATAGCATGTGATGCTAACAGAAACTATTGTTCACAGGTTTCCTCCTCTTCATTAAAAAAAGCACCCACACCCTGTAATTTAAACCCCTCACCACAGTTTCCACCACACAGAGACGCGTCACAGGAAACCTTTTTCTATTCAATCTAATTTCAGATTTCTTTTTCGGTTCTGTCAGTCATTTTGTTAGATCTTCTCTCTCTCACACACACACACACACACACACACACACAGTGCACTCCTAAAACATCAAGTGAGTGTGAGTTGAATGTGTGAAAGCATTTTTCATTCCTATTTTATCGATCAGCCCCGATGTCAAATTCTGCAACAAGTCAGGATGATCTGATGTGAGGACGCAGCAGCGACGAGCGGCTCGGGATGGAGGAGTGAGAAACTGGTGAAATCTTCATACGTGAAGAGAGGCTGTTACTCTTATTTTGTTGTCTTTGATACTTTGGTTGATCTTCTGTTAGGGGCATGTGTGGGATACAGGAGCAGGATGTCCTGAAATGTTTTCCTGTTATTGTCAGGGCCTAAAGATTTACTAAGCATTTAAACCAGTCATTTTCTTTCTTTCATTTTTTAAGGTAGCAGGAAAAATATCATTGGGGCACCTCTAGATCCTACACGGTCATTCTTTCCCACTTTATGAACACAACAGGCATGAAGCACAGGTGACACACTAAAAAACAAACAAATGCTCCCGATACAACAGGAAACTGATGAGCGGGCCGACACAGCCCTGAGTCACAGGCTAAGACACAGTGCTTCAAGTTGGCAGACTTTTCTTTCTGAATACTAGTAAACCATGTTTCCTTTCCTTTTTGTTTTAAACAGACATCATACCATGGTTGGTGGAGTTGAAGCCCTCGTTTCCAGAGAGCTATGGGTGTATTTTACATTCAGAAATAATAAAAAAAAAAAGCCTTGAGTACTTTTGCTCCATTAAATGTCAAACAGTTATTTTCAACACTACAATCCAAACACAGACAGACAGGCAGAGTAGAAAACTGAAAGAACCCCAGAATAACACTGTTAGACGTCTTTACAGAAACAACACATCAGGTCTCCTCACTTTGAATCATGTTTCAGTGGAGACAAATGTGAGCAAGGTGGGCTTTGACTTGACTACACGTCCACCACCACAGAACAGCTGACATCAAACAGCAGTGAAGAGTAACAGGGAGCTGCAGCGCCGACATGGCGGGCTCAAGATGTGAAAGAGCACCTGCCAGCCGTGTGTAAACTCTACAGCTGAATCTCACACACACACACACACACACACACACACACACACACACACACACACACACACACACACACACACACACACACACACACACACACCACACACACACACACACACACACACACACATGTAGCACCCTAGCAAAAAATCAAAAACAGTCTGAAGAATTAAACTGAAAGTCGCCAAAAGTCGTTTTCCTTTTTTCGGTCCCACACTCTTCACGAGGGGACGAGACTTGTCAGAATGATGCTGCATTCATGTCATGTGGGAATAACCAACATCTCAATCACGTTGTTTGTTGTGTACAGTCTTCATTTGCTTCTGACACACTTAATCATGATATTTTTATTTTTTACAAGATAACTATTCAACCAAGAATCCAGTATAGTCTCCTCCCACTCATTACTCTACAACTCTAACATTAGTATGCATTATTTTGTACACTGCTAAACACATATTTCCATCAGTTTAATACCCAAACCTCAATTTACACGCTGATGGCTAAACTGAACTCTATGTTTCCACTTGGAATTTTGTTTTCCTCTCTTTCCCACTGAACATGAATGCAGCACGTTTTCTCTCCGTCTTATGAAATGCTCGTCTACAGGACATCGCAGCACCCTCAGGCGGCTTCCAAAAGTCCCCAAACCTTCCTCATAGCTCTGAGAGCGTGTTCAGCTCTCGTCAAATCACTTCAGGATGAAATGTTACAGCCGTCACGATGGATGCGTCCTCTTTCTGGGTTGTCGCTCACTGCTCCACGCCGGCTGTGTAGTCGGGACGTCGCGTCTGGATGATCTTGGGACGAGGCGAGCGGGGTTTGTCGTCTTGGTCGCTGTCGTCCGGGGCCGAGCTGTCGCCGCGCTCATCCTCACAGACGTGGACGACCACGCTCGGGGTGGTGGGTGTGGCAGTGTGGAGCTCGTACTTTTCCCCTGAGACACACATACAGGACGTTCAGTTCCATAATGTTTTTAACACCATGAAGTCAATGATGCTGCAGAACTGTTATATCGTTTAGTGTGTGCATGTTTAGCGTAACAAGGACTTATTTTCAGATTAAATTTAAAAAGATTTTTAAACTCCTGCAGTCTCAGCTCTGGGCTTCAATGTTTGCATCATGATGTTAATGTTTAAGCAGTTTATTTTAAGCCCAATAAATACTACATCACATTACTACTCACAAGCAAACTATGGGTACCTTTCGGCCACTTGGAAAGGTCAATCAAAAAATGAATATCCACATTTAGCTACCACTCGAACACTAACACTAACACACCTCCTAAGATTGTCTTATTGTTGGTAAATCTGGACTTGGTTGCCATAGAGAAAACATCAGATCAGTCCTGCTATCATTGAAGAAAGAAAAAGAAAAGCTAAAGCGACACTAAGACAAATGCATGCAAAGGAAACACCAAGATAAAGTGATCTGTGTCATATTGTGTTTCATACCTGGTCCTAGCTTTGAGATGGCACACAGCAGGTCGTAGTTGACGACTGGCTTTGCGTCCAGAGATTGTTCCCAGCCAACCGGAGGGGAGGCAGGGGGCGAGATCAGGAACTGCTTGTCGGGTTTGGGGGGCTCCAGACGAGGACTCCCTATGTGCACAGACTGAAGAGAGACACGTGTGAGTCAGTAAGAAGGAAGAGGAGATAAATTACAAATCAAGAAAGAAACCATTCAAAAATATGGAACCCAACATGAACAACATTGTCACTGAAAAATGACTGTAGTGCAGGCTTATCTAAGAGCTCACTTTTGATCTAAATAAACAGAGACAACAGGCAGGGACAGCTTATAGATAAAAACATGAGGAGGTTAGTGAGCTTCATGTCTAGTCCAATGCTAGTGAACTGTGTCTGCTGCTCGTCTGTACCTCCTAACTACAAAAGACACAAGAACGATGCTAGAACCTGAGTGTAAGTGGACATGATGCATGTTAGAGCATTACCTGGGCAAAGTAAAGTCTCATCTCTTTGCCGTTGAAGTCGGTCTTGTGGAGTCGGAGTCTGGCCTCGGCTGCAGCCAGAGCGTCACTGAAGCTGATCCTGACTCGCCGGAACGACTTGAAGTACTGGAACTGCACCTCGGGATCGAAGGAGCGAAACAAGGCTTCGAAACTGGCCTGGAAAGACAGAGAGGGAGGAGGGAGAATAAAGAGGCTGTAATGATGAGGAAAATGAGAGCATCTTCTGCACCATCTCCTCCACTTCTGCTCAATTTGTTCCCTTTGACTTCTTTTTCTCTTCTTATCTATAAATACTAAACACTGCGGCTCACAGGAAGACATAAATACCGCTATGAGACGCTATGAATAAAACCTGTAAAAATAGCTTCTATTACCGAACACTATATCTTTGCCTCCTCCTCTCTCCAGGGAGCCTGTGTGTGTGTGTGTGTGTGTGTGTGTGTGTGTGTGTGTGTGTGTGTGTGTGTGTCTGCCTCACAGAGGCAGAGCTGTGGCCTCAATTTTAAATGACCAATTACTGTTCCAGAAGCTAATTAAGTGAGAAAAATGAAGTAGACAGCTGACCTTGGCTACCAAATCGAAAAAAAGGACAAAACACACGTAGAGTGATGGCAGACAAGATTCATCAATTTAGACACACTTGAGACTGTGAAGATGTGGAGTCCATGTAATTACACCCACACCTCGAGGCAGCAGCTATTTGAAAACACACATTCAGTGTTGGATGATATGGTTGCCCTTTATGAAGCTGCTGCAAGACCCAGATCTTTCAGTCTATTCAATTTGTTGAATAGCTTGTTAGGTCAGCGTGTACGAAACAAGACAGAATGAGGAGCTGCTGCTGCTGCTCCGCCCCAGTGGACGCTGAGACGATGCTGAAGTGCGGCAGAGCCGAGCCCAGTACCCTGCTGGTGTTCTCTTCACTTCAGCTGCTGTGACGCAAAGAGCAAAACAGCACGTCTCATCAAAGTAGTTCAAAAAAGGTTAATGCAGCTAAAAGCAACTTTTTGTCGAAAAAGCTTGGAGCCAG